TGTACATGACATCCCATCTCTTTCCTGCAAAGCTTTGCATGGATATCTCCTATGTTTGGAATACGTTTCCTTCTCACCTATGACTTAGAATTAGTAGTTTCTTTCAATTTGCAACTCAGGTGCCACCTTGTACAGGAAACTTTTTCTGATCTCCCTAGAGTTAGTAGGGTTCTCTCTTCCCTTATATTTTGATTTACTTTGTACATTTTGTATTTATTTACCTATGGGGATGTTCTTTTTCTCTACTCGAACATAAAACCCTTGAAGACAAGCACTGTTTCATTATCATCTTTGTATAACCAGCATCTTGCTCAGTACCTTGTATATATAGCAGGAACTTAATAAGTCTTAGTTGAATTGAATTTCAATTAAGATTTTCTAATATTTGGGTTTTTCTAAAATAGGAAAGTTAACAATTGACTCATTTATAAAAAATATTTTTCACAAAAGTAGGGCTTTCTTTTCTTGTAAGTCTGCAACTTCATCTCATTACTTCTTAAAAAGCAATAGAGTATAAGTAGCCACAAGAAACTGTGGTCTGCCAGATCTATTCATGTATATTTTTACTGTCTCAAAAATATCATGACTCACAATGCTGTTACCTTCTGAAATTCACACTGGGAGTGCATCAGCCAGAAAATAGAAAGCCTATGTGTAAGTTGTGGATATGATATAGAAAGGATCATTTTAAATTGAATAATATCTAAAAGTACTATATTTGCAAAATAAAAATGGAATGAAGCAATTCTCTCCTGTCTGAGTAGAACAGAGACAATAATTCAATCCACATCAAAATGGTGCTAAAACTAGCAGAAAAATGAAAACAATTATCTGATTAACCAGTTCTTTTTCCCCTCCAAATTCCCCCAAATAGTATAGACAGTGATACTGCCTATACACAGGATGGGAATTTTTTTTTTCTGTTGAGTACTATTGATCCTGGGGTGAGGATGGGGAATCAATCAAGGACCACCTGCATATAAACTGCAACTTAATTAAGATGCATTGTATAATATGTATATGTTGATTTGTTTTTAGAAAGAGGAATATGAAATATTTAACTTTCAAAGTTTAAAAAAAACAATTTTAAATGAATGGGAAGCATTGAGCTTTATTCACTGAATCCAACAAATGTTTGGAAAAAAAAAAACAACCCTTCCTCAGTGCAATGCTAATAGGCACCTGAAGGGTAGAGAGAAAGGAAAAGAGAAGGAAAGTTATGAAAGGAGGAAAAATAAGGAGTTATGAGGAAGAGAAATGGGATGCATAAGTGGAAAGTCAAAAAGGTTGGAAAAATATAATTTTGACAGAAGGAAAGACACTGAGAGAAAGAGACACTCAAAAGGAGGAGACAGACAAAGGAGGCTGCCATTTTTAACTATTCTCCTTTTTTTTTCTTGAATGCTCTAAAAATTCACATTTGATGGCAACATCTTTATCACTACAGATTCAAGCCAGAACTTCCTCTAAACAAAAGCAAGTTAAAATGTGGACCAATTTACCAAAAATGGCACTCTGTACCAATGCAGTGGATCTTTTTCTGGCATCCATCCCTCCCATTCCCAGTATGTCTGCCATTACCACACAGATGCATGTGAATACACACACACACACGCACACGCAAGCAATGAGCACGAGTCCTTGAGCTGCTGGGTCAGTCACCATTCTGAGAGGGAGAAAAGGAAGTAGGGCTTTGGAGCCAGAGGAAGGAGACTCAGAACTTCTTAGGTAACATAATAGCCATGATTTCCTCACTATTTTTCCATGATCTGTATTTTGGGACACATGGAACTAGGGCCTGCTGTCTATGTGAACACAAACACAAAGGATTATATAATTATTTGTTAAATTTGGAGCATTTAAATCTTAAATATTGATGGGCTATCTAAGCATTATTTTTACTCATTATACTACTAAGACTAGTTGAAGACTCTTGGTGATCTTAACTTGACTAGGGAGTTCTATAACTCCCTTGTTGTTCAGTAGTTTCAGTCATATCACAGACTCTTTGTGATTCTTTGTGACCCAATTTGGCAAAGATACTGTAGTAGTTTGCTATTTCATTCTCCAGTTCATTTTACAGATGAGGAAACTGAGGTAAACAGGCTTAAGTGACTTGTCCAAGGTCACCCAGCTAGTATCTGAGGGCAGATTTGAACTCAGGTTTTCCTGAATCCAGGCCTAGCATTCTATCCACTGAGCCACCTAGATGTCCCTGCTTCCCCTTAAGTGTGCATACACTCAAAGTGTTTCTACCCTAGGGAAGTCCCAAGGAAGTTATGTTATTATTTAAACACCTAGAGCAGACAGATAGGTACAGAAAACTTAAAAGGACAAAACAAAAAGGTCTTCACAACAGGGATGACTAAAACATTTTCTATGTTTGAACTGATTCTGAGTTGCTAAGTCTTACAAATTTGAAACAGCCACAAAATTAGGGGAAAAAAATTCCACTTCCAATGATTCACTTGATTTATTGGAGGAACCCAGGCCAGTATTAAATGTACATTTCTAACAAGCAATGAATAAAATGTTAAAATCCGTAAGTGCTTTGTTTCTTATTCTCTCACTATCTCAGTTATAAAAGCTAGTCAGTACTTTTTTTTTAAAGCCACAAGTGCTCTGTTTTATAATTAATCAAATCCAAAATCTTTTCTTATAAAAAGAAGCAGCAGACAGTGTTACTCCGGTCTTTGGCAGCTAAAGATATGTGTTGTCGATATTCTTGGCTCATGCCTGGTCATGTCTTATCAGAGAAAGAAAATTGCAAAGTGTGTGTCATGTGGGAGATTGGAGCTCCTGGAAAGTGTTCAGCCTGATATGAGGCTGAAGGCAAAGTCCCCACCCAAGCACCATGGCAAGGGCCCAGCATCCTACTCCAATCTCCAGTCATTGCCATGACTTAACCCCTTCACCTCAAGGTTATTTATCTTTTCACTCCCTTGCAAATGCCTGCCATTTAAATAACACCTCCCAGAGCCTCATCCTGTGATGCCATGGCTACAGGAGGTCAATAAATACCAGTGGCTTACTTCCAGTTTCCTGAGATCATGTGTCTTGGGAAGGGGAGGAAAAAGCACTGAACTAGGGATTAGGAGAGTGGAGTCCAAGTTCCAACTTGGCCCTGCCTCCCTGTGTGAGCTTGTTCAAGTCTCTGGGCCCTCAGTTTCCTCTTCTGCAACACAAAGAGGCTGGATTAGAGAATGCCCTCAGGTGCTTTCCACCTCCAATATGACTTTCACCATCAGTATAATCAGAGGCAGAATGATATGCTGGAAAGTGATTCAGGAGGTCAGGAAGACCTGGATTCAAGCTGTGCCTCTTGACATATACTAGGTATCAGATCAAATCATTTAATCCCTCAGTTGTCCCAAGCAACTCTTTAAAATGATAAATAGGTTTTTTTGTTGTTTTTTTTTTTCTGTATCTGTGGAGAGTTTCCCCACTGGGAATTCATTACATCAATGTCTCTGACTTCTCTACTGCAAAATATTCTCTAGCAAACTACTTACTAGCAAAAATGAAGCATGACATCCCATGAAATATTATGGATTATGGAGTCAGATTATGGAGTACTGGGGTGGGTGGAAGAGGTGGAAAAAGGGGAGCTGGGTACTGGTCTAGCAATTGGCAACTTGCTAGTTTCTGTGGCATTTCCTTTAACACTCTTCTGGAAGAGGCTGGCCTTTAGCAGTCTGAAACCTAGCTAGACAGTAGAGAAGGGTATGTGTGGGTGGGGTGGGGGTGAGAGTGGGAGAAAGGGAATGAAAGAAGGTTAGACATTGGATCATCATGGATAATTTCTTCACAGATGAAGCTAACAAATTATAACACCTGAAAGTGATCAAAGAGATCTGTCAACCTCCACTTTGCAGAAGAGGAAACTAAGGCCCACAGTCCTGAAGTCACATTCTCAAAGTCACAAAGGTTTACCAAGAACTGATAGCTGACTTGGGGGAATGTGTCCAAACTAAGCCAAGCTTGAGTATAGACTTTCTATTAATAATTATTACGAATGAAAAAAACCCCTCACATTTATATAGCATTTTAAGATTTTTAAAGAGGTTAAGGTTTACAACTACAGTCGAGGAGGACCTTATTGGCAAAATACATTCCAGAGTTAAGACAACTATCCATTTAATTCTGGCAAAAAAAATTCTGCTTTGTCCCATCCTAATCAAGGATTTGTCTGTCTCTCACTCCACTGAGGTAATTGAGAGGTGGCCTGGGAGTTGAAATGCTGATACCTTGAGAACAAGAGCTCTGGCTGTGTGTGTGTGTGTGTGTGTGTGTGTGTGTGTGTGTGTGTGCGCGTGCACGTGCGTGTGTGTTTAATCTGTTTGTCCTTGGTGCCAGGCATAATGCTTTTTCACAAAATGGAACCCATAACATATTTGTTGAATCAGATTAAAACAATATATCCTTAGTCCTGTCACTGCTTCATGGCAAAGGATATAACAACCTCACTTGAGCTCCCCTGTTCCCATGGAGATATCTGACTTGTCACCTGCCTCAAAGACACTGACATCTTCCGAGTTTATATCAGTAGCAGGTTGGAAGGTACAGTATTTTAGAGTGGAATTCCATTTCCAGAAGGCCAACACTTCCACTGAAATCCCAATCCAAGCCAAGATACAGTGCCTTGGAATATTAATACATGCCCAAGAAAAGGCAGGACTGGAAAGAGCTCTGGGTTTTGAGCCATATGACCCAAGTTCAAATTCTCACCTAACATTTCTTAGCTGTATGAACTTGTAGAAGTGACTTAATTTCAGCAATTGTTTTCTCCTCTGTAAAATGAAGAAATTATATTAGGTGATTCCTAAGACCCCTTGAAGCTATAAATCTTATATTCTCAAGGATCCTATCCCTTTTCCCTACTCTACTCCCCTCCTGTGTATAACATCATCCCCTCACTGGTGGATATTCTGAATATAGAATCATTGCTTTCCCTCCTTTAAAGTGACCCCCACCCCACCTTCATCCACCATGGGCATTAATACATATTCAATAACATTTTTATTATTACTTCTAAGATAAGGAACAATTATCAGATATTACAATGCCATCTCTTCATCTGAAAATGAGCAGAAATGAAACTTCTCATAAATTGTCCTTTTTCCATTGTAAGAACCATCCATCAGCTAGTTAGCAGGAAAGACTTTATGTCTTTTTAGTCTTAGACCTCAGGCTAGAGTCATGGTTTATTATGTACATCATTTCTAATGGTTTGCTGAGCTCTGGGGCCTTTAAAAAATAGAGGAAAGGATAAGCTTGCCTTCTAAATGTACATTTACATCCCTTCTTAAAAACAATGACTTTTTCTATTTGAATTTTCCCTTCCCATCCCCACTGCTACTCTCTCCTTGCAGTAATACAAATGTATACCCAAAAAGAATGGCAAGCTCCCACATAAAAGGGACACTGGCAAATAAATGACAGCACAAGACCTGGGTGAGGTTTTACCCTCTCTATTGTTGTTTTTTTTTTTATAATTGACCAGATTTTGTGCCTTACATTAAGCTCCACAACACATGTCTTCAAACTTGGCTCTACACACAAAGAACCTGTTACTGAGCAGATGTAATGCAGATATCACTTATTATATGACTATTTGTCAAGGCTAGAAGTGACCAAGATAACATCCTAGGCTGCTGTAAATAAATACTACTTGGCAAACAGAGCTAAAGACAAAAAGTAAAGGAGTATTCTGAGACATCGGATACTTTTTTTTTCTGTACATAGTTCACACTGTACCTCAATTGCAATAAGAATGAAATAGCCTATAGAAAGGGGTGAGTTCCCATCTTGAGGACAAAATCTGGGGTCAGGTCCTTTCTTGACTCCTGACTGTCTTTTCTATTTTTTTTTTCCTAAAGGAAAGCTGGAGAAACATGTGACAAAGACAGCACTCCCTAATTCCCCCTAACCCTTCTCCCACCCCAATAAAAATGCAAAAAAACAAAATAAAACTCCAAGGGCTCAGGAATGGTAATTGTCATGGTCCATGCACTGAGTGAGTCCTACCCCATGGAGAAGTCTTTTAGCAAACTGTAGTTCTGGGGAGAGGAAAGGATTAGCTTGGTGGGGTGCAGGTGTCCTTGAGAACAATACAGGAGCAAGATGACAATGTCCACCTGGAAAGGAGATGATCTTCTTGGAAAGACTGGCCACTCCAGAAGTCCAAGGTTCTTGAGGGATGTTCAAGGAGGAGACAGTTTGGCAGGAAATGATGAGGATGGTCTCTGGAAGGTGATGGTTTCTGCATGATGATTAGGGACTAAAAGAGGTCTGGCTGACAGGTGGGATCAAGAAGCAGGAATTTACTCTTTAGAAGGTGGTGGTCCTTGTAAGGGTGCCATGCTTTCCACAGGGTTCTGGGTGCACAGGCTCCTGCTGGCAGGGCAGACTGGGGCACATGCACCCTCCCGCTTTGCTCTTGAGGGCTGTAGCATAGTAGTCCAAAGGTTCTTCCTCAGCAGCGGAAGCAGCATCTAAGAGACAACAACGAAGGCAGAGCACCCTCTGGAACGAACGTCGGAAGTTGTCTGAGAGGAAGCCATATAGAATGGGATTTGCACAGCTATTGGCATAACTGAGGATGAGGGACACGTGATTAGCAGTGGCATCCAGACTGGGCATGAAGAGGTTCAGCAGCTGTACCACATAAAAGGGCATCCAGCAAAGCACAAAGACAGCTACCACCATGAGCACCAGCCTGGTGATCTTCTTCTCTGATCGACGCCTCTGCTGCCAGCCAGCCCTGAGGGCCACTGCTCGCATCTTGCCCACAATAAGCAGATAACAGAGGCCAATAGCCAGGACAGGAAGGAGGAAGCCCAGGAGAAAGGTGTAGACCACAAAGACAGCAGACCAGGCTGGATGAGGCCAGTGCAGGTTGCAGGCCACAGCCTGGCCACCTCGAGTGGGCTTGGTATCTGCAAAGATGGTAATGGGCAGAGTGACTAGCAAGGAAGCCAGCCATACTCCTCCATTGATGAGCTTGGCCACGCTGGGCCTTCGGTAGGTGGCAGCTCTCAGGGGGTGCACCACAGCAATATAGCGGTCTACACTGAGCACTGTCAGGCAGAAGACACTGGTGAACATATTTAGGCCGTCAACACTCAACACAGTCCTGCAGAGGGCAGAGCCAAAGGGCCAGTGGCGGAGGGCAGCAGAGGAGGCCACAAAGGGCACGCTGAGCATGAAGAGCTCATCAGCAATGGCCAGGTTCAACAGGTAGATATTGGTGGCTGTTTTCATCTTAGCATAGCGCAGAATGACGAAGATAACTAAGGCATTACCCACCAGCCCCACCAGGCATACCAGAGCATAGATGGACTGTATAACGATCATTCCAGCCTCACCTCCTGCCCCTCTTCCCTCCTCTTCCTCCCTGCCCATACTCCCAGGTGGGCGGCTGACATTGGGGGCCCTGGGCCAGTCTGTCCCAAATCCAAGGATTCCTGTGGTTACAGCTTCCTCCACCCCAGAGGCCAGAGTCGGGGGCCGCTCATTCTGGCAGATGGCCCATCAATGGGCAGACTGCGAGCGAAAGAAGAGAAGAACGAGGAGAAGGAGAAAGAGAGATGCCGCGGGAGTCCTGTCTGCCAGATGTGAAGCCCTCAGCTGGGCAGTCAGAAAAAGGGGAGGAGGTTGGAAGGGACTGTGGCTGTGCCCGCAGCAGCAGTGGCGAAGGCTCCCAAGGCTGTTGCAGCTGGAGCAGATGTGAGCTTCTCGGCTGCCACCGGGTCTGCCTAAATAGCGAGCGGCTGTCACCCACTTAAAGCTGCTTCCAATCCCGAGCCGGCTTGCCTTTGATTTGCTTCACACATACCCACTGTTGCATGACAATATGATCTCTCCTTCTGGTTCTTCTTTTTCTCGCTCTCGCCCCCCTCCCTTACCCTCCTTCCAGTTTCCCCTTTCTCCTGCTCTCCTCCCCTCTCCTACTTCTCCATCTCTCCAGGCTCCAGTAGCTGCCCTCTCACTCTAGCTGTGTTCTTTGTTCCCATCAGAATACACCCGAAGGGAGTGGAATGAAAACGCAGCTTTTTTTAAATTTTGGGGTTTTTTTGCTTCTTCATCATTTTGTCTGCATCAACTTAGCTGAAGTTCTCTTTGTGACAATTGGAGGAGGGGAGGGGCGATTAAAGGAGAAGAAGGCTGGGGATGAGATGCAGATAAGTTCCAGAATGATTTCTTTTCAGGTCTCTGGTACATAGGCAGCAGCTAGCCTGTGGCTTTAGCCACCTCTCCTAACTCCCTGGAAGGCGCGGACATCTGGGAATTGGAGCTCAGTGCAGAGAACAGCTAAAGGTCTAGAGGGGTGGTGGCATGAAGGGGACAGAGCAGGGAAGAAAAATCCAAGAAGTCCAAAGCCCCCAAAGTCCAACTGCTGCCCTCTCCCAGCTTGCTTAGTTCTCATGGGAGCTGTCCATGGCTCCTAAATCCTAAAAGAGATTCTCATTAGGCAAGGATTGCTTCCTCGGATCACCATCAACCTCTATAGCACCTTAATTCTCTATGGTGGAGGGAGGGTTGTGTGGGGGGGCTGCGGGGAGGTATAGGAAGTAATGGACTTTCCATAACCTTCTTGCATTGAAAACAACAGACTTGTCCAAAATCTAGTCCGGGCTGGATAGTGAGGTGACGTCTGAGTTGAAAACTGAGACTCAGAAATCCGGAAAGGAGTTAGGACCTGACTTAAATTTGAGAAATGGGGAATTTTTGTCCCCAGGGTGGCTCCTCTCTCAACAAACAGAAGTAGCGGGCAGGGGTATTTCATGCTCTAGGCAGCTGAGGAGGAACTGTATCTAGGAATCAGAACTACAAATTGAGCTGCAAGGTAACAAGCATTTATTATGTGCTTACTATGCGAAACACTATGCTAAATGCTGAGGATACAAAAATAAACAAAAAGAAAGACAGTCCCTGCACTCAAGGAGCTTATGGGGAAGACAACATATAAAAGGTAACTGAAAAAGGTAGCTGGGTGGTGATGAAAAAAAGGAGAAGGCAGAAAGTCAGGACGGACAAGAGGAGAGAGAGAGAGAGGTTGACCTGCTTGTGTCCTTCCCCAAAATGGAGGTCTCATAAGGAACTTACCAAGGAAAGGCCAGCCTAGTAGAGGAATATTCCCCTGTAAGAATGGCACAGGGACAGGTAGATGTTCAATGGTGAAGAGGTCCTAGGCATTGAGGGAAGTTTCGGGGTGAGATTGAAGCTGGGGCATCGTGTTGATGTCCTGAAAATCGGAAGCAGTGCCAGGAAACAAACAAACAAACAAACAAACGTACTAAAAGACTTAGATAGATCCTCAAAAAGGGCATGCAGACTCTTGTATTTATAAGATGTGCCTCACTGCTTTTCACTTCATTTTACTTCATCTTTAATATATCAATGGATTTGGGACCCCCAGGATGTGAGTTTTCATTTCCATAGTACAAATTCAGTGCACTTAAATTTTGTCATCCTATGAGATTTTTATTCATATCCTCTTATAAATCCTTCATGAAATCTACCTGAAATGTCAAGGACCTTTTCCTAGATTAGATCTCCCAGATATCACCTAGATATGCCTTTTTACTATGCACTTTTGGGCTATGATTCTAATTCCCATTTGCACTGGCAAGTCAGGACTCCAGAGAGTGGCTACTATGTCTCCCCTCAGGGTTCTAAGGCTCTCTGCAAGTTCTTCTGGTTATATATATTATGAACTCCCATCAGTATGCTTCCCTTATATGATTATCAATTGATACATATTCATCATCTAAACAATTATGTATTAGAAAGGGATGTTTTTTAACTTTTTTTTTTATTTTTAGGCAGTTGGGGTTAAGTGACTTGCCCAGGGTCACACAGCTAGTAAGCGTCAAATGTTTGGTTTGAGGCTGGATTTGAACTCAGTTCCTCCTGACTTCAGGGCCGGTGCTCTATCCACTGTGCCACCTAGCTGCCCCATGAAAGGGATGTTTACTAGGGTGTTATAGCAAGAATACATGTTATAAAACTCTCTCTCCCCTCAAAAAAAGACTTTAAAACACTGCCCACAAATGCATACCGAGTCTAGAACATGAGTTCCTAACCCTAAGGTCATAAACTTTTTTTGTAAATAACCATTTCAACATAATTTGTTTCCTTTCTATGTATTTTGCTTTATACATTTAAAAACCTTAACAGTTGCTGAAAGTCCCTATCTCTCATTTGTGAAGTTCTTAGGAGGTTTTCCTTAGTTATGATCTAGCAGAATGCTTTTAGAGTCTGGAGGCTGTCTTGCTTAAGTACATCTAGTTTATCCGCAGCTGCTGATATAGACGTCTCTATGCCAGAGACACTGCTAAGATGACCATAGGTCCAAATTCTCTGACTTTCTGAAGTTCACAAGATCCTTTTCTGAGCAAAGGAGGAAGAGCAAAGAGATGAGGCCAAGGTTGAAGCTCAAGTTTCTTCCTTTCCTCATGGGCTTGGCTGCAATCTCTCTCTCTCTCTCTCTCTCTCTCTCTCTCTCTCTCTCTCTCTCTCTCTCTCTCTCTCTCTCCCTCTCCTCCATTACCTCTCACTTGAATCTCTGATTCAAAACTTGGAACTGAGGATAGCTAGGTAGGACCAAGTTCCTCAACCAGTACCAATATATTTTCTGTCCCATCTAGCTGAAACGCTTTTGGTTCATTGATTCATAGTGGAGTTGTATGGGCATTGTTCACACCTACTTTGCTTCTCTCTCAATTTATTCAATGCTGTATTTCCACTGATGTGTGATCTTATCTGACAAAAGTGTCAGGGCTAATTGGAATGGGGTGATTGATTGACTCATTCAAATCTTATGAGGAAAACATTTTTATTGAAATTTTGTCTAAGAAAAGAAAAAAGGTCATTAAAATCAAAATTCATTTTAGTCAAATGACAGAGAGAAAGAGAGAGAGAGAGAGAGAGAGAGAGAGAGAGAGAGAGAGAGAGAAATTTGGTTTTATTAGCTATACATTGAATGGAAAAACAGGCATTCTTAATCTACTTAGTTTTTTTCTAAGTATATTGTTAAATCAAATTCTTCTAGGGGATCATAAATCTTTTTTTAAAGAAGCTCTTCAATGTTCTGGAGATTGATAAGCATGTCATCTGCAGACAAATATTTGCATCTGATGGACCCTGCCACTGATAGGAAGCCCATCTTCCATTTAAACTCTTTACTGATCATCCTACATGGCAGCAGCAATAAACTCTGGCAAAAATATGTCTCATTATTTTATGCCTTGTATGGTATTAATAATCAGAGGATTATCTAAGTTACCTGTTATTTTACTTGTTAATAATTCCTGACAACAACATAGTATAGGAAACAAATTCTTGAAGTCAGAATTTGATGCATTTTGCTCTACCAAATAAATAGTGGGATTGTGGAAACTTTCCAGCTCTGGGTCAGCTGTTTTACTGTAAATATGTTATCTACTATAAAATATCATTTGCAAAAGCCTGCCTGTATTTTTGCCAAGGATACCTTTGGTTCACTATATAATAATAATAACTACCACTTGTATAGTGCTTTAAAATTTATAAAACACTTTACATATGTTTTTATTTTATCCCTATCATCACTCTGGAAAAGTAGATGTTATTAATAACCCATTTTATAGATGAGGAAACTGAGGCAAACAGAGGTTAAGGGATTTGCCCAGGGTCACACAGCTAATAAGCATCTGAGGGTATAGCTGAACTCAGGATTTCCTATTCCAGGCCTACAACTTTACTTTACCATCTAGCTGCTTTGTGAGATTATTTTCATAAAAATCATATAGAAATGAAGAAGGTTGACTGAAATACTCTCTCTTTTCATCTCTGCCTCCTGGCTTTTTTCAATTCCTAGCTAAAATCATCTCTTCTACAAGAATCCTTTTCTGATCTCACTTAATGCTAGTGCCTTCCTGCTATTGATTATTTCTAATTATCCTAGATATAGTTTGTATATAGTTATTTTGATCTTGTCTTTCCCATTAGATCGTGAGCTCCTTCAGAGCAGGGATTGTCCCTTGCCTTTCTTTGTATCCCTAGGGCTTAGCATAGCTCCTGGTACATAGTAGGTACTTAATAAAGGTTTATTGATTGATTGATATGGGTGCATAATTACTGATGCACTCTAAAACATTTTGGGAGAGGCAATAATACCACCTGTTATTTAAAAAAAATTGTTTGATAACCACTCTTTTTTTCCCCCACATCATGAAAAAGTGACTCCCCCTCCCCCACATCCTCAAAACTGGGATGGTTCCAACATGATTCTCTGTGTGTCTTTGGTCTTCTTAGGCTACTGTTCCTGTCTTCATTTTCTTTAGGAACATTTCTAATTCCTTAAACAGCACATTAGGCACTGAGATGTTAGAGTCCAAATTCAGTCATTTTACTGTTGATGATAAAATTAATTATGGAAGTGTTGACAGGTCTTTTCTAATATTTTATCTGTTTGTTATTCTCTTTCTAATTTCATCTTTAAATGTTTTGGGGATTGATTTGGTTTAATGAGCTCTCATGCCAAGATT